GATGTGGCTAGAGAGGTGGAACAGACGCAACTAACCATAATTTAAATATGTTTTACACAACGCATGCTAGAGCAAACTGCATGCAAATTAGCATAAAGGTGCACTTACATTAGGTATACATTTTTTTTAAAAAAGAATATAAGAAACACATAAGCTGACAGAGAAACAGCGTTACCGGGGTTTATCCGAAGAAATTCTGACTAACTAGCGCGTCTAAAAGAGGAGATTCTGCTAAACTTTTCGTTCTGCAAACCCGAATATAATAAGCAGAGCAAGCTCTGCTAATTATATAAAAACAAGTAGAGAGAAAGATAAAGTATAAAGAAATATATAGTATAAAAAAATAGATAGTATTAAAATAGTTATAGATAAAAAAAATATTATAAAATAAAGTATAGTATATAAAATTATAAAAGAAAGTATAGTTTAAAAAAAAGTATAGTATAAATAAAAACATAGCATAGAAACATATAGCATATAAAAAAACATAGTAAAAGAGTAGTAAAAGAAGAATAAAAGAAAAGTAAAAGAATAGTAAAAGAGTAGTAAAAGAAGAATAAAAGAAAAGTAAAAGAATAGTAAAAGAAAAAGTATAGTTATATAAAAGTAGATTAAAAAATATAGTATAATATAGTAATAAACAAGAATAGTATAGAAAAAAATAGAGTATAAAAAGAAATATAAGTAATGTAAATAAAAGTAAACATAAAGTAAAAAACATATTATAAAAAAAAACATTATAGAATAAAAAAATAGTATTAGAAAAGTTAAAGAAAAACATAGTAATAAAAGAAATAGTAAAGAAAAGCATTATAAAGTAGGTAATTAAAAGTTAGAGTTAGAGTATATAATAAAACAAAAATAGAATATAAAAAAAAACAAAAAGAATAGTAAAAAAAATATAATAAAAAAAAACAAGAAGTATAGTAAAAAAAATATAATTAAAAAAAAAAAGATGTATAGTATAAAAAAGTATAGTTTAAAGAAATTATAGTATAATAGTATAGTAAAAAGAAAAAGATAGTGTAAAGATATAATAAAAAAATAGTAATAGAATAAAAAAGTAGTATAGAAAAAACATAGCATAAAATATAATATAGTTTATAAAAGATTATATTAAAAAAGCATAGTATAAAAGAAGTTTAGAGTAAAAAAATATTATATAAAAAGAAATATAAATAAAAAAGTAAAGTAAATTAATAAACATATAAATAGTATAAAAGTATATAGAATAAAGAAAAATATAGTATAAAAAAAAGATAACATAGAAAAAAATATAAGTAAAGTAGTAAAGTAAGAAAAAAAAGTTAGTATAATATAATAGTATATAGTGTAAAGAAAGATATAGTATAAATAAAAGTATTATAATAGTAAAAAGAAAAATATAGTAAATAAAAATATAGTTTAAAAAAAACATAGTAGAGAAATAAAACATAGTATAAATAAAAACATTGTTAATAAAAAATATAGTATATAAAAAATATAGTAAAAAGATAGTATAGAAAAAGTATAGAATAGAAAAAAGCATAGTATAAAATATATAAAGTATAAAAAAAGTATATATAAAAGGTATTATATATAAGCATAGTATAAATAAAAAGAAAAGATAAAAGATATAAAATAAAAGAATAAAGGTATAAATAAAAGATAGTAGAAAAAAAGTATAATATAAAAATAAAATAAAATAAAAATAAAAATAAGTAAAAAAGTAAAGTAAATAAAAGTAAGTATAGATAAAATAGTAGTATAAAGAAATATAGTATAAAAAAATATAGTAAAAAGAAATATAAAGTATTAAAAAAGTTAAAGAAAAAATATTATAAAATAAAACATAGTATAGAAAAGTATAAAAGAAAGAAGAATAGTGTAAAAAGATATAAAGTATAAAAAACATAATAAAAGAAAAAGTATAGTTAGAGAAAATATATAGTATATAAAGAAATATACATAATATAAATAAAAGTAAGTATAGTATAAAAAGTATTATATAAAATAATATAAAGAAAAACATAGTGTAATAAAGACGTTGTTAGGAAAGTTCGAGAAAGACGTGGTAAAGAAAAACGTGGTTGAGGAAAGCGCTATCCGATATATGGCCACGGATCGCTGGCTTTCCGTAACCCTAACTTCCTTATTCCGTTTAGCGCGTCGCCTAAGCGAGCAGCGAACGACTGGAATCCGTCAAACAGAACCCCTGGAATCCGTCCCCCATCCTGTGCCTAGATCCTATTATAATAGTAGGCAAACTTTTAGGCTTTAACCTAAACTTGCCCCCGCCAGGGTTTTTTTTGCAAAAATGTACAGATGTGGTGGTGTTTTGCCGCAACCCTAACTGCGCGGTGGATTTTGATTTTCCTGCGCACGCAGGCATCGCGCGCGCGCATTGCCGCACCAGCTACCAGCGCCCCGCCCGCAGACCACCACCTAACCCAGCGACCA